GAGTTTCGACAAATCATCGAGAGAAGTCATTGTTTACAAAAGCTGTTACGCCCTTATTCCAGCTCTATCAAGATTTGTTGAAAAAGTGACGCTAAATTTGGATGATTGGTTGTGCGAAGATCGTCCGGTTGCGGTGATTGTGTTTTTTTTTTTCTTTTATACACATCGGCCACTTGTGTGTATTGGTGTTCGGTGTTGATAGTACAAACACAGAATCTATCGAAATGGCCGAGAAATTTCCTTTCCATCAGAACTACCAAACATGGAAAACGCGTATGGAAATACCTCTCAAGCGAGAGGAGCTGTCGTTCGTTGTCCAGAATGGCAAACTCGAACGTGTGACACCTAGGGTTACCTAGAGTCACGCCAAGAGAAAAACAGTTGAACTCGCATCACGGTTTTCGAAAGATTCCCAATCTTTTCATGTCACCGTGCACAAATCAATAATAGGTTTGTTCCGATGCGCTAATTCATTAGCTACAACATAAATCCTATTGGAGCGCATTGTATAAATATTTACGCTCGTTCTCAAAACAAAAGAAGCGTTCCTAGTGAATCCCCTTTTTCTACGTTTATCCGTAGGACGAAGAAAATCTAATGGCGTTTCAATGCGTTAGGACGGAATTGAAACTCGTAGAACGAATTTAGAATCAAGAAGTAGTATTAGATTTTAAACAATATCTCAACGATTCGTATGGTACGTATGGAAAAGTGAATAAATTTAGAAGTTACATATCTATAACATAAATATTATATTTTTTGTTTAAACTCGTTCAGAAAAGAGAGGTAAAGCGTGGGTTGTGCTTAGTAGGACGGAAATTAGATCGGGTTTTTGTGAAATTTGTAAAATTATCTTAACAAAAAATAGTAAAAATTCTCATTACTGATCATAACCGAACGTTTATGCTCATTTCTTCGATTATATTATATAGTTTTTTTCAATACTTTTCGTGGACCTTTCATAGCATCGTAATGTTTGTTTACTTTGCACGATAGGTAGCCGGTTTGACAGTTCTATAGGTAGACTTGGCCGAGGGGGGCGACTCTATCTACGATGTAGGAGAAATTGGGGTTAGCTGCGCGCACGCTGAGTAGATAGTAAGAAGATTGATGACGATTCTGAAGATTTCTTGCAAAAAGATGATGCGCGATGCAAGTAGATGATAGAAATGAAAGATTTTTTTGTCGAAGATTGATTCGCTAGTGTGAGATATGTTGATCATCTAGAATTGAGATTTAGATGTGTCGCTCCATCGGACTTGACTTTACTATTGGCGTGACTCATTATACACCGACTGAGGGTTACCATATCAAAAACTTGAAAAGGAGGACATCTTCGGTCATATTCTTACATCTGCCGGTGTATAAGCCAATCCCGATAAGATCAGTAGCATCCTGGATATGGGCGCACCTCATGATCGGTCAGCACTTCAGCGATTCCTTGGGATGACCACGTACCTGACCAACTACTTGCCGAACCTAGCAATACTTGGATTTGAACACAGGAGCATGAAAACGCATTTCGGAATTTGAAGCAGTTGGTAACGACAGCACCAGTACTTCGCTATTTCGATGCTACAAAGGATGTTGTGATCCAGTGCGATAGCAGCAGTGTGTGGCTCGGAGCAGTTTTGATGCAGGAAGGTCGACCTGTTGTTTATTAATCGAAGACAAATACGCAAATACGCTCAGATCGAAAAAGTGACACTGGCTATTCTCTTTGCGTGTCGCAAGTTCGAACTCTACATTACCGGAAAACCAGTGATTGTACAAACGGACCATCAACCTTTGATTCAAATTTTCCAGAAGCCATTAACCAAAGCTCCTCTACAAATCCAACGAATGTTGCTAGGTTTGCAACGATACATTTCATTTTACCCCAGGCAAAGAAGTCGTGATAGCTGATATGTTGTCGCGAGCAGCTACATCGGAAGGTGACAAGACGAGTCGGGAGATCTACGACATATATATATATATCCCTGTATCTGATGATCGAGTCGAAGAGATAAAGGCAGAATCGCAGGTAGACCCGGAGATCCAAACCATCATACGGTGCATTCTGAGGAGAACTTCAAAGTAGTTCTGAGGAGAACTTCAGAGTAATTCTGAGGAAAATTCTAGATTAGTTCTGACCAGAACTTCAGAGTGTTTCTGTGGAAGCTTTCAGAGTAAATCTGAGGAGAACTTCAGAGTAGTTCTGACGAGAACTTCAAAGTAGTTCTGATGAGAACTTCAGAGTAGTTCTGAGGAGAAGTTCAAAGTAGTTCTGAGGAGAACTTCAGAGTAGTTCTGATGAGAACTACAGAGTAGTTCTGAGGAGAAGTTCAAAGTATTTCTGAGGAGAACTTCAAAGTAGTTTTGAGGAGAACTTCAGAGTAATTCTGAGGAAAATTCTAGAGTAGTTCTGACCAGAACTTCAGAGTGTTTCTGTGGAAGCTTTCAGAGTAAATCTGAGGAGAACTTCAGAGTAGTTCTGACGAGAATTTCAAAGTAATTCTAAGGAGAACTTCAGAGTAGTTTTGAGGAGAAGTTCAAAGTTGTTCTGAGGAGAAGTTCAAAGTAGTTCTGAGGAGAACTTCAGAGTAGTTCTGATGAGAACTTCAGAGTAGTTCTGAGGAGAAGTTCAAAGTATTTCTGAGGAGAACTTCAGATTAATTCTGAGGAAAATTCTAGAGTAGTTCTGCCCAGAACTTCAGAGTATTTCTGTGGAAGCTTTCAGACTAAGTCTGAGGAGAACTTCAGAGTAGTTCTGACGAGAATTTCAAAGTAATTCTAAGGAAAATTTCAGAGTAGTTCTGAGGAGAAGTTCAAAGTAGTTCGGAGGAGAACTTCAGAGTAATTCTGAGGAAAATTCTAGAGTAGTTCTGACGAGAACTTCAGAGTATTTCTGTGGAGGCTTTCAGAGTAAGTTTTGAGGAGAACCTCAGAGTAGTTCTGAGGAGAAATTTAGAGTAGTTCTGAGGAGAATTTCAAGGTTCATGTCCGGATCCGGCTTACGTGGTCTTCAGTACTTACTATGGCCACCAATGATCATGTAATTTGATATGTCGCATATGGGTGTTGGTTCAAGAAGAATCTAACCAGTTCTTAGGGGATACCCGAACCATAGATGGCAATCGATGTCCGTCTGTGATTGGCACTAGATTGCGGAACAGAGACCGACGTTAAATAAAGGAAAGGAAAAGGCCATAATATTTGATTTCCTCAACCGTCACTGGCACAGGCCATAAGGTGTTACGTCGGGTCCTATCTTTCGGACCGCAGCCGATCATAGCGTTATCGGCCAACTTCTCCGGTTATCGTCGGGTTCTCAGTGTTGATCCAATTGACATAGCTTACTTTATCTATCAGTCTTACTCATTTTTAATGACATTTGATTGTTTAGGTTTGAATTGATTATAAGTATTCTTTAAATTGATTATAAACAAAAATACTGCTAGTACCGAAAATATCGAACAACCACCCTAATTGTAATGAAGGAACCTATAAATACATATAAGCATAATTTAGTTCCCTCTAATTGACACTGAGGTATGAGTATAGCTTGTTTGTGATCAACTGCTGAGCTAGTAGGCTGGCGAGCATTATGTTGTTTGGAACGAGGGTGACGCGCTTGGCATACATAGATGGCCCACAGTGACTCACGAAGAGCTACTGAATCCGATAAGTAGCGGTGCGGCTTCTTCTTCCTTCTTCGGTGAATCGAGGGCTCTTGAGGGCAGCCTTGATAGCTAGCTGCTTCCGGGGAGTCTTTCGTCGTGTACTGGGGAAAACTGTACAACTCCACACGCCGAAAGTACTGTTGCTGCTGCTGATGATGGCTACCGGACACCACACGCGGTGGCTGAAGAAACACCGTTAGGCGAGAACAGATGGAATTCAATTTTGACATCTGTGTTAGGGAAAGCGATTTTCGCAGACAATCGGCACATTTTTAAAATTGATTAACAGATTTGTGGAAAATTTCCTATCGATTGGCGTATTAAGAATTAAAATCCATCATCTCTGGATCGAAATCAGACCACTTTCATGCCGCGACCGAGTTTGGGTTTTGAAATTGTACCCCCCAATGTTGCCTTAAAAAATATATAGGGTGAAGAGGGGCATAGTGTACAGGTGGGGCATAGTGAGCATCCCGCAGTTTGGCTTTGGATCTCCAGCTGCATGAAACAAATCGACTGGTAGTAGGTTCAATATCATTATGATATTGATCCTAGCACCAACCAATTTGTTCCGAACGGCCGGAAATCCAAGCTGGTGCACGGGATGCTCACTATGCCCCACCTGCTCACTATGCCCCTCTTACCCCTAGTATGTTAGATTTAAACTTATGAGGAATGACATCCGATTGATGACATTGACAAAAGTCCAGAAAATACCCTCTAATAAATTTATGGTGGTCCTGAAAAGGACCGTTTTGTCGTAATGATTGAATACTGGTGAGCTATTAGTGTGTTCAACACAGATGAGGCTGGCGAGCTGTATGTTGTTTGGAACGAGGGTGACGTGATTGGCATAGATATCCAACAGCGACTCACGAAGAGCACCGATCAGTAGCGGTGTGGCTTCTGCCTCGTTCTTCGGTGAATGGACGCTCATGTGGGCTGCAGCTCTCGTTGTGCACTGGAGAACAATGTTCAATGCCATGCGCCGATTGAATCAGCACCGTTCAGCGAGACCGGATGGAATTCGATTTTGAAATCTCTGTTAGGGAAAGCGCTTTTTGCAGGTGATAATTTTGATGCTTGAAAAATCATGCAAAGGAAATCAGAAGAAACGCCCAGTGATAGTATCAAGTAACTCCTGACGGAATTCAGTAGAAATCGGTGAAAGTTTGTAAAATAAATTCTAGGGAAGTCGGATGACACTTCCTGGAGTAATTGGATGAAATTTCTACAATAAGTTGAAAATAAAAACTTACAGAGAAGTAGGAAGAAACTTCTGGGTTGGATGCAAAAAAATATTTCTGCATAAATAAATATTAAAACAAAATGGTTAAATCCAACCCGAAAGGTTTCCTCGAATGGATCGAGAATCGAACTCCAGATTGGTAATACCGTGCTTGTACTGACTAGGCTATCTGAGACCCCTATGCTCTACCACGGTCAAATAAAGAGATAAATGGTGTCATGAGAAAACATACCAGAAATCGTATTTTCATCAAATTTGCCAAGAATTGTTCCTTCAATAATCTCATATAAAAAATAAGTTTCCAGAGATAAAGTTAAATTTTAACGATGACCGACCTAATCAACTTTTTTCCAACAAGAATCTCACTGAAAACGAATCTTACTTATTGAGTGAGCAACTTTTACTCATTCGCCAGGAGAAATTTTTAAAAGCTGAGTGACCTACGCTTTTAGAAATTCCTCAATATGCATGAGTAAAAATGACTCACAACTGAGCAAAAGGGACTCACTCTCTCAGTTAGTTTCGTTGTTTAGTGCACCATTCATTTTCAAACAACTTCTACGAGGAATCCAAATTATTATTATTTTATTCAAATTGCATTCGATGCGAATTGAACCTTCAATGGCACCGAACCGGTTGGCCTTTCCAGTGTGGCAAGTCTCGCTAAAACCCTACATATTACCTAAATACACCTACACAGTAGATTGAAATAGAAACAATCGTCCGGTTACGAAACGAGACCTAAAACATAATCAACTTCCGTTTTACAGATACTCAACAATATCACATTTAATCGATATATTAGGGCAGCTGGCGCCTACCGTATTTCTAGCCCTATATCTAGAGTCCTTTTCATTGAGAAGCTTCCTAAAGATCGGTAGAATTGCGGTATCACCATCGAGCAGCTCCGACTCGGAGCATGCTCCGTAGAGGTTTGGCTTCGAGCTGGATTCCTTCTTGCGGTGTCGAATGTGGGTGCTTCCACCGGAGACACCGCCCCCTCCTCCTCCGGAATGTTTCTTCTCGGGTGCCACGTTCGGCGTGGAATGGTGGTGCGAGTGCTGTGATTTCGAGAGTTTACGCGAGGAGATCTTGGTAGGCGTTACACAGCTTCCGGCCACCGAAGCGACCGCCGCAGTGCTGCCAGTTGAACACACGGAGGAGGGGAAATTCTGATAGTCACGCTGTTCGCGTTCGCTATCCGTTTCACTTTGGCAGGCAGTGCTCTTCTGCTTATGTCGGTGTTTGGTACGGTTCTTTTCCGACACGCTCCGCTGTATTGGACCCGGCGAAGCGGCGGTGCTGTTTTCCCGCTCGTGATCGTATTGGGTTTGTTGTGGTGGTGGTTGTTGTTGTAGCTGCTGCTGAGGCGGTGGGTGACTATGGTCGGGACAACGGGATTGTCCTCTCGGTGACTGTCGCTGTTTGGCGTGGGACAGAGTATGGGTATCCCAAAGGTCACTTTGCGAAACGACAAAATTTCCCTTGAGCGACGATGTCATCTGGACGCTGACTCGTCGTGACGGGTCGCTGACTTGATCTGGAAATTATGGGAATGTTATACGGGAAGGCTACGATTGAATCCATTGAGCGTACCTCTACTCTTTCCGACAGGCTTAGTGTGATGACAGACTTGATTAAGCTCGTTGTTTGAATGGTTCAGTGACGTTGAAGATATGCCATTGATCTGCGTGCTTGATTTTGCGATGTTCTGATAGGGACGATCGTCCTCGTAGCGGTCCTGAAAAAATCAACATTTTGGTTACCAAATTTCAACCGGAGTAGTGACAAGCCTACCTTCGCTTGACCTGGTGAAAATTTCGAGCTGGAGAGTGATCCTCGCCGAACGTCATTGAACATTGGTTTACTTGGGTCTTGGGGAACACTGGTACAGCTGGCAATACTGTTGGAGGTAGCCGACACTTTGGGTGCAGTCGATTGTATAGCAGTTGATATAACCGTTTGAGCTGCCGTAGTAACTGTATTCGTTGCAGTTGTTGCAATGATAGTTGGCGTCGTTGTATGTACCACCCCGGTTCCGGCCGAGGCGTTCACCAGATTACTCTTTGGCACAGAATTGGTAATCGTAGCAATTGGCTTCGCCGGTGGCTCTTCGCCAGGTAGTACGACTGTAGTTTTCTTTTTCCTGAAAGTACGGAAATTGTCGTGAGGGTTGGTTTCATGAGAAATCTGCCGTCTCACCTTTCAGGTCCCACCGAATCCAAGGTATCATTGCTGGAAACTAAACTACCGATCGAGGTGAATTCTGTTCCCTCTGCAAGTCAGTTGAAACATTATTTAGAGTCGAAAATCATATATCGATCCCAAATACTTACCACTAGCATAATCCTTTTTAACCTGTATCTTAATAGATTCTTTGTTGACATCCGGCTCGGACGTACTCGTTTCTAGCCCGATCCAAGCACGGGCATCTGGTCCGAGACGCTTGAGCAAGGCCTGCAGTTCAGCTTCTTTCTCCATCAGCACCTTCCGGAAGCGACAATTGGTTTGCTTCACGTCTCGCATCCGTTGTTCCAGCTCACAGACAGACGAATCTCGTCCGTTCTTGGACATGGGTCGCAGCGTAGCTCGAACCTTCTTGTCTACTACGCCAGTTGGATTCCGTTTTAGTTCCACAAACTGAAATTATTCACTGCCTCCAGTACCACGCTATACAGTCTCAGTTATCAATTCTTGCAACTTACCTTAGGAACGAACACCAGACAAAGGGTAGCCGTTGTGCAAAAGATGATGAACAGGGATATCAGAATAAACACTGCGTCCTTACGATCGGATAGAACTAGGGCAATGGCAGCACCCATGACGCACATGATGACGCAATTGTACACGGACATTCCAACGTGTTTGGAGTCGTTCAAAGCCGGAATGGACACGTTTCGGGTCTCCCAGGCCAGAAAGGCACCGAAAATCAGCAGCAATCCTTTGTAGGCGTAGATAACGCCGATGAAGATGGTCATCTTGCTGGATTGGCAATACTCGTTCTCCTGAACGATGATGACGTCTTCTAGGGTGGGATGCTCCTGAAAATGGGTATCGATTTTCACGTTCACCCTTTGAGATATGCTTCTTTGGCGGTATTTGAGATCTACAACGTCCAACACTATTTTGTGGAGGCTTCCCCCTAATACTTACTGAAGGTTCTATATACTTTGTTTCCCGGTAAAATGGATCCGCGATTTGCCAGGTGGTCATAATTGCCAAATCAATAGCCAACAGCACTCCAACCACGATGAACAGCTGGTAGTCCTTGATGACCTTCTTGTTGAGCTTGAGATCGGTGAAGATCGAATGGACGCGCCATGTTTTGGAAAACATGGCTCCGAACGCCAGGCTAAATCCAGCCATCAGTAGCCACGCCCGTGCCGTACAGATATAGGGAAACGCAGGCACACTACTCAACCCGCTATCCAAGCCGAGGAAGATCACACTCAAGTACGTCAGTATGCAGCCAATGATGATCAGATTGTTGAGATGTGGACTGGACATCTTGATGTACCTGTTGAAATATTTTCAACGTAAATAAAATTGCATGCGATTATCCGTTTGAGAACCTACCTCTGATTCCGGTACTTGATATTGACAATCAAGAATGCAGTGGCCATTACGATCCCCACGCAGGACGTGCTAGCCAGCACCACGTAGATGGTAATGTTGACCTGGCTGTGTTCTATAATGCGCAGAGTGCGATCCTTGGGCGGAGAGCGGCCAACCCACAGCATCGGGTGGCCAAGCGTCAAATCCAGCCGGTTCGTCAGCGAATTGTATTCTCCGATCTTGACTTCTTCGTTGTTTTGGAACTGTTTCAGCAAGAAACTAGCTTTCCGTTCGTTGTTGTAGAAGCGAACCGGGCCCTGTGGGTCATTTGAGTTGATATTATTGTTTTCACGATCAAATGTAAAATGGAAGAATCTATTACAGATTTGTAAAAAAATATAATGAATCGGTACAAATACAAGGCATAGACAAAATGATCGGGACAGGCAAAATGTATCAAATAGCATTAAGTTTTAGAAAAATAAACCAATTTTGATGTAACAGAATGCATTTGACCGGAAATTTATAACAGTTTTAATAAATTTGTGTTGGCCAGTGGCCATCGGAGATGTTCCGGATTTTTGCGGGGTATGTCAAAAACAGATTTTTTCATCGCTTGTATTTTTATCTGGTATGAAAATTTATTGTATTTCATATTTTTTTTTTCCAGATACAAGAAGCAATTCTGAATTCAATGCTGGCTACAGATCCAAGATCTGATGACAAATAACCGAGATCTAGCCATTTCCTTGAAATCGGCTCCGGTACAGTGACCAGTAATGTTAATCATTTGATTCACATCAATATGGGTATCAATCCTCATTATTTCTCAGGCCATCCTGGAACAGGTTCTGGGTTCCCCGGGGGAAGTGACCAATTTGGGACATGACCGGAACCGTATCAATATGGGTGTCAAACTTCATGATTTTGAAAGCCAATGCCAATGGTACATTTTTTATGTTACCCAGGTTACGCTGGAGCAGGTTCTGAGTGCGTCGAGGGTAGTGGTCGATTTCGAGCCTGAACGGAATCATGTTAATATGGATGTTAATGTTTAAGATTTTACAAGCCAACACCAGTTTCAGTTTTATCAGACTTTAGCAGGTTCTGGATGCCCCGGGGGAAGTGGCCAATTTGGAACAGGACCGGAACCATAACAATATGGGTGTCAAACTTCAAGATGTTGAAATTCATTGCCAATGGAAGTATTTTCATGTCCACAGCTTGCCATAGTTAGAGTCTAGATGTCCCGGGAAGTGGGCAATTTGAGACATGACCAGAAACATATCTATATCGGTGTCAAACTTCTAGATTTTGCAAGCCAATGCCAATGGTAGCTTTTTCAAGTTCACAGCTTGCCCTGGTTTCCTTGGAACAGGTTCTGGGTGCCCCGAGGAAGTGGCCGTTGTGATGTAGGACTACGTCTGTGATTTCTATATAGAGATACACTTTGTGAAAACCAAAAATGAAACATTTAACGAAATTATGAAAGATTTTGAACGTTAATAACTCAGCTGTCCCTGAACCAATTTAAATAATTTTATCATCAATCAATTAGAAATATTTCTAAGCATCGATAGCAAAGCTTTCTACTCTTGATTTTGAACAAAAAATTATTGATAAAGTGGTAAATGCTAAGCATTGTCCAAAAGCGTCGAAATAACAAACAAATCCACCAATTACGTACATGCATATGCTACATCTCCAACACAGGTGTGCAAATAGGAGGATGCAATTTCGCAACATTTCGCACACTCATCGCCATATTCAGAACAACTCGTCTTTCTGCTAAAGGCTAACATTTACCAACTTGTCGAGAAAAAGGGGTTAACGAGAAAAAAAATTAAGTGGTTGTATCCAAGACACTACCGTATATTTGAGGTAGGATTACGTGCTCGGTATCCATATTCGGTGACTGTGTTAAGGAAACCACTTTTCCCATTACTGAAACGCATAGTTTTCTGATGACAAAATTACGCATTTTCATTTATTTATTTATTTATTTATTTATATTACTGAAAATCAACAGGCGTTAATTTGATGTACTCGATGATTCCTGATCCGTTAATCGCTTGCAGCCAATTTCCGACAGCCCTAGCCATCACAATTCAACTGGACACTGGGACGCACCGAAGTTGGCCTCATGGAAGCCCTTGTATCTCCCACCACAGTCGAGCTATTCCAGCCAGCGTTCAGCAGTCGTCCCGGCCCTGCGTGTGGGAGTAGTGCAGGGGTCTTCCAACTCGACAGCATAGGCAAGTCAACTTCTGTTATCGATTCAACGACTCCTGATCCGCTCATAGCTTCCAGCCAATATTCGCCTGCACCATCAAGACGTCCTTCGCAAGTTGCTCAGACTCTAGGACGTATTGAAACTATACCTGCTCCTTCAGACTTGCTGCTGTATTATCATAACGTCGGTGGTATCAACTGTGATGTCGACGATTTTCGCGTAGCTACCTCGGATCTTTGCCACGACATCATTATTCTCACGGAAACATGGTTGGATTCACGCCCGCTCTCTCGTCAGGTGTTCGGCGACGATTATGAAGTTTTCCGTTGCGATAGGAATGCTGCTAGTAGTCGGAAAGTTAAAGGTGGAGGTGTTTTAGTGGCTATAAATTCTAGGTTTAGAGCGAGGTTACTAGAAAATAATGCTTGGACATGCTTATAGCAGGTGTGGACGTTGATTAAACTGGGCGATCGTACCTTGTTTCTCTGTGCGGTTTTCTTTCCTCCCGACCGTATACGGAGCGTGACTTCATCGAAACCCATTGCCAATCGGTTTTCTCTGTTCTGGATACCGCCAAAGCAACCGATGAAGTTATTGTGTTTGGTGACTTCAATCTCCCGGGGATTTCATGGAAAAAAAAAACTCGCAACGGCTTCCTCTATCCTGACATGGATCACTCTGTCATCCATTCCTACGCTTCGCTCCTTCTGGACAATTACAGCTCAGCCAATCTTTCTCAAATCAACCATGTTATTAACCAGAACAACCGCAGTTTGGATCTTTGTTTTGTATGCGCCCAGGACATGGCTCCTTTCTTATGCGAGGCATCCACTCCTCTGGTGAGACTGGATTGTCACCACCCGCCGCGACTGGTGACGTTAAGTACTAAGCTGATGCATGATTTTAATATTTCACCTGCCACCGTTTCCTACGATTTTCGCAACGCCGACCATGCTAGTATCGCCGAGTTACTCTCCAATTTAGATTGGGACGACTTATTGGACACCGTTGACATTAAGTCCGCCACTCAAACTATTTCCTATGTCTTGGCATATATCATTGACAGACACGTTCCGAAAAAGATTCATCATCATACGACCCATCCACCATGGCATACGAGCGAATTTCGTCGACTGAAATCCAGAAAGAGAGCCGCTCTTAGGAAGTTCACCAAACACCGCACACTATCCCTTCAACGTGACTATGTCAGGATCAATAACGCATACAAACGAGTTGCGAAACGGTGCTTTCTTCAGTATCGACGTGGATTGCAGAGGAAGCTTAAGTCACGTCCCAAGCAGTTTTGGAAGTTTGTCAACGAACAACATCATGAAGCTGGTCTGCCGTCGTCTATGACACATAATGGTAACGTGGCCTCATCTACGCAAGATATCTGTCAGCTGTTCTCTGAAAAATTTGCTAGTGTCTTCACAGACGAGAGACTGAGTGACGACCATGCCCGACTAGCTGCCAGTTACGTACCACTCTCTGGCCAAATCATGAGCAGAATTGACATCCATCCCGAGATGTTTTTCAGGGCTTCCTCGAAACTCAAGTCGTCGTACCATCCGAGTCCCGACGGAATTCCATCGGCGTTCCTCAAAACGCACTTGGACAGTTTGTTGTCTCCACTGCTGCACGTTTTTCAACGGTCTGTGGACGTCGGTGTTTTCCCATCCTGTTGGAAGCTAGCGCACATGTTTTCAGTACATAAAAAAGGCAACAAACAGGACGTTGGCAACTACCGTGGCATTACTTCGCTTAGCGCTGTTGCTAAATTTTTCGAACTCGTTGTTATGGAACCGTTACTCGCTCACTGTAAGCCCTATGTTAGTATCGACCAGCATGGTTTCATGGCTGGTCGCTCCACTGCCACTAAATTGCTGTGCCTTACTTCCTACATCTCTAACAGTATGTCGGATCGTGCTCAGACGGATGCCATTTATACTGACTTATCTGCTGCCTTCGATAAATTGCATCACCGCATATCAATCGCTAAACTGGACAGGCTTGGTATCCACAGCTGCCTTTTGCAATGGTTTCAGTCGTACCTCACCGATCGCTATCTTACTGTTGTCATTGGTGATCACCAGTCCCGTACGTTCGCTGTCACATTCGGCATACCCCAGGGTAGTCACCTGGGATCGCTGATTTCCCTGATTTATTTCAACGACGTGAATCTGGTAATTGAGGGACCACGATTATCTTACGCAGATGACCTTAAACTCTACCTCCGAATTCACTCAATTGAAGACTGTTGCTTCCTTCAACGTCAGCTGAATGCTTTTGCTGATTAGTGTATTCTGAATCGTATGGAGGTTAACCCGTCCAAATGCTCGGTTATCTCTTTTTCGCGCAAGAAAGAGAATATTATGTTCAAGTATGTTTTGCTAGGCACTGAAATTGAGCGCGTCAGCCAAATTGAGGACGTAGGCGTGATTCTGGATACAAAACTCTCTTTCAAGCAGCACATCTCGCACGCCGTCGACAAAGCTTCCAGATTTCTAGGGTTTATCTTCAGGATTGCCAAAGACTTCACGGATATCTGCTGCCTTCAATCGTTGTACTGCTCCTTGTCTCGCTCCATATTAGAATACTGCTCGGTTGTCTGGACTCCTCACTACAACAACGGTGTCGAAAGAGTTGAGTCTGTTCAGCGACGGTTCCTGAGATATGCGCTACGTAAACTGCCGTGGACGGATCCCTTCCGATTGCCTAGCTACGAAAGTCGTTTGCAACTGATCCATCTGGAGCGCCTGTCGGTCCGAAGAGATACAACAAGGGCATTGCTAATTGCGGATATTTTGCAAGGACGCACCGATTGCCCTGTCCTCCTTGAGCAAATTGACATCAATGTTCAACCCCGAGCCCTACGGAATAATTCAATGCTGCGTCTGCCCATACAGCGAACTAATTATAGCATGTTCGGTGCAATCGGTGGTGGGTCTCCGCACTGTTTGATTTTGACCTGACTCGTCAGCTGCTTCGCCGGAGGTTTATTTCGTTTTTTTCTGGATCAGTTTAGTTTGTTTAGTAATGTTCCTTTTTTTTACGAGATGACTACATGATGTTTTGTTTTACTACTTTTCATGTTTACTGAACATCAACAGGCGTTATTTGCCCCAATGCTGTAACTTAACATCATTGGGGCAAATAACGCCTGTTGATGTTCAGTAATATAAATAAATAAATAAATAAATAAACGCATTTTTATGCACAAAATGCACAGAATTTTTGGTTTATTCAAGCGAAAAGTGATTGGAGGAATTTCTTGCTAAAATTTTCCAATCACGAGGTATTCACGATCAATCATATAAATTCGAGATTTTTTCTAGCGTCTCGGAGAAAACCTTACCATAATTTGTATGTACCACTTCAATTACCATTACCACATTACCAAAGAGCTTTGGGGGTGATGTGGCTGGCAGCAAGGCGAGCGAACGTTCAATGAAAATTAACTCTTAAATAACAATAATTTATGGTGGTCCGGAAAGGAACCATTTTGTCGTGGTGGTTGAGTAATGCTGAGCTATTAGGGTGTTCAACACGGATGAGGCTGGCGAGCTGTATGTTGTTTGGAACGAGTGTGACCCGCTTGGCATAGATGGCCCACAGCGACTCACGGAGAGCTACTGAATCCGATCAGTAGTGGTGTGGCTTCTTCCTCCTTCTTCGGTGAATCGAGGGCTCTTGAGGGTAGCCGTGATAGCTAGCGGGAAGCATTTGGTTGTGTACTGCAGAAAAATTTACATACGGATGACGACCAGACACCACCGTTCGGCGAGAACGGATGGAATTCGATTTTAAAATCTGTGTTAGGGAAAGAGCTTTTTGCAGGCAATCGATGATAATTTTAATTATCATAGCAACAGTCGTGCAATTTTCAATAGTAACCTTTTGAAAATTGATAAACTCTTAGTTTTAACAGATTCGTAGAAAATTTCGATTGGCGTATTAAGAATTAAAATCGATCATCTCTAGATCAAAATCAGACCACTTTCCTGCTGCGACCGACTTTTGTTTTTGAAATTGCATTTGCAATGGTGCCTTTAAAATACATGGTCAGATAGATTTAGACTTATGTGAACTGACATTCGATTGATGAGCTTGAAAAATGTCCAGAAAATACTCTTTAAGGGGTTAGGGCAGTGTAGAAGCCGAAAAAAGGTTCAATTTCGCGATTTTTTTTTTGGCAAACAAAAACACTGAATGAATGCGGCTTTCAGCATTTTATTGAAAATATTTTAAACAGCATTTTCCCAGATTTTGGTTTTTGAAATGTGCAGTGCCACCCTGCAGTCGTCTAAGTGATGGCAACACTGGCGTGAAGCGGTTTGCGGGTGGAAAAAAATTGGTGGCGATCAGTATGTTGTTTGGAACGAGGGTGACGCGCTTGGCATAGATGGCCCACAGCGACTCACGAAGAGCTACTGAATCCGATCAGTAGCGGTGTGGCTTCTTCCTCCTTCTTCGGTGAATGGACTCTTCGGTGGACGGCAGCTCGCTGCTTGCGGGCAGCCTTTCGTTGTGTACTGGAGAACAATGTTCAACGCCACGCACCGAAAGCACTGCTGCTGCTGCTGATAATGATGATGACAACCGACCGGACACCATTGAAAAAGCACCGTTTGGCGAGACCGGATGGAATTCGATTTTTAAATCTTTGTTAGGGAAAGCGCTTTTTGCAGCCAATCGGTGGTAATTCTGATCACCATTGCAACAGTCGGACATTTGTGTAATTTTCAATAGTGACCTATTGGAAATAGATAAAGTATTTCTTTTAGCAGATTCGTTGAAAAAATTCCAATCGATTGGCTTGTTTGGAATTAAAATCCACCCGCTATTGTCAGAGCTATAAGTGGTCAAAACCTGACCACTTTTTGTAACGCGGTCAACTTTGATTTTCTTTATTTTTTAATTCCACACCCAATGTGTTGCCGAATGACGTAATCCTACGCCAAAACTAAAATGGGGGAGGGGGGATCTTTAGCAGGGTGGACACTGATATTCTGTGGCCTTCCAACCTGTCGCAGACACCAATTCAACCCCTGTTCAGCAGCAGACGGGCCGAGACTCTTGCGAGTGCCCAATCATTGAACCGAAGAATATGGGATTGTCCGGTCCGATTTGCTGGTTCAGTGGCCTACACGTCATCATCATCTTCCAAAGGCTTTTTGCCTGTACTACCATCGGCCTTGTTCAAGGCCACCAAGATTTTCCCAAAAAGTTAAATTTCTGAACATGTCCCAACTAAAAGGTTCTTTTCCGGGCAATCATAGTCATGCTAAAGAATATAAACAGAGAGAACCCCGCTCAAATTCCTATTCCTACACAAAACACAAGCTCCTGATGTAGTTAACAAATAACATTTATTATATAAGACCACGTAGTCCTACGTCACCATTACGTACAACCCCACTGGGCTTGTAGTTTTTTACATGACCGGAACTATATCAATATGTGTGTCAAACTTCAAGATTGTTCAAACCATTGCCAATGGTAGATTGTCCATGTTCCATGCTTGCCATGATAACCCTGAAGCAGGTTTTAGATACTTTAACTATTTATGTTTGTATTACTTCTGCGTGAAGTTAACGATTTTACATAGTTGAAAATGCCAAGTTTCAAATAACAGACTTATACCACAGAAAAACAGACGTAACTCTTTGAAAAAGTTTTCCTTGAAAACATAGTATCTCAAAACATAGGACCTCAGTAGCGACATCTTTCAGGCTTCTCGCGGAAAACAAGCTTGCTCGCTAGCTCGCAAACAATATTGCATAAAAGTTCTATAGAATGTATAGAAACGTCAAAGTGATCCGATGCCAGCGCTGCGGCGAGTAGTTCGCGGAACTGATTCAAATCAACCGTTAAATGCGTGAACGAAGATACACAATGAAGAGTTACGTCTGTTTGTCTGTGCTTATACCTTGTACAGACATACAAAGTTCACTGTTGTACTACCGTTGTACTGCTTTTAGCAGTTGAAGAAGCCAAGTTTCAAATAACAGACTTAAAGTGGTCATTTTATACGATAGATGAGGAGATGAAAGCATAGAGTTGATAGTTCCGAGAACGGCGGTGTGAAAATTGTATATAGATAGTAGAAAGCGAGCAAGGCCAACTTTGAGGAAGGTACGAATCGGGTTGATCATCTGTCTTTACCAAACTCCCCAGTTGGAGAGAGATGATGAGGGATATCCCCACCCCCTCCCCCAACTCTATACTTTCTCCTCATATATCGTATAAAATGATCACTTTAAGTCTGTTATTTGAAACTTGGCATCTTCAACTAGGTTTTAGATGCTTCAGTGAAAGTGGCCAATATGGGTATGAAACTTCAAGATTTTGCAAATCAATGCCTATGGTAGATTTTTCATGTCCACAGCTTGCCCCAATTGCCCTGGAACAGTTTCTGCGTACCCCGAGGGAAGTGTCTAATTTCCAGAACCTGCTCCAAGGAAACCGGGGCAAGCTGTGGAGCTGAAAAAGCTACCATTGACATTATTGGCTTGCAAAATCTTGAAGTTTGACACCCATATGGTCCCGGTCATTTCCAAAATTGGCCACTTTCTACGGGGAACCCAGAACTTGCTACAGTTTGGCCTTCGCAACTTGTGATGCTGAAAACGTTTCTGGAGGCATCGCGCTGAAAAATCATGAGGATTAATACTCATATTGACGTGATTCAAATAATTAACATTATTGGTCACTGGAACAGATCTTGAATCTGAATTCAGAATTGATTCTTGTATCAGAGAAAATATGAATTACAATAAATTTTCATACCAGAAAAAAATACAAGCAATTAAAAAAAAAAATCAGTTTTTGACATACGATGATTTTCTAGCTTCTGTGCGTTGGTTTCCCAACTTTGTCCTAAAAGTTAGCTATCATATATTTTACAGAATTAAAAAAAAATAACTTCTAACGACTACAAATATATAATATAACTTTACATTCCCCGGTTAAAAAACAGAACTTACGGTAACTCCCTCGAAGCTGGTATTCTTCAGCGCTTCAAGAAATATATTCTCCCATTTGTCGACACGATACTCGAACTCGGCCAGGGAAAGCTCCTTTCGTTGCGAAACGTACTGAATGGCACTGGCCACGGCCCAGATTCCATCATAAGTATACCCATGAAAACGAGAATACTCACTGCCACGTCGACTGTTGTATTCCGTCAAGTATTCGTCTGCAGTCTGTAAGGGAAGGAATGTATTTCGGAATCTTACCTAACATCACATGCACACAAAATCAAATCACGCCTCCCTGTTCGGTAATTTTTAACTGAGATTTTGAACAGCTGAAAGAGTCAGTAAACTAAAATAAATTGTAAAATTTGTTACAATTGAAAATTTTCTCAAAATGCATACAGACTTTTGTTCTTTAAACATTATTTGAAGATACAAAATAAAATAAGTTTGTATTGTTCATTTCATTACGTGTTACGGTTATGACTTTTTCAGCTGTTTGAAAACCTAGTAAAACATTTCCGACCCCAGTAAAATAATCTCTGTGTGTAGGAAATAACTTACAATTCCGGAGATGGTGATGTCACCGCTGGTAGACAGTGGCAACAAATCTACCAGGATCGATGATTCCAGTGCCTTTCGCACATGTTCGACCTCACAATCCGTATCGTTCACATCCCACCACTCGTTGCCGTACGTTCCCATAATGAGCCACTGATAGGACCGACCGTACATTTCCAGCTTATATGCTTCACAAAACACCTTCCTAGACCAGTATTCATTGAAATTACCGAGGATAATCCGAACATCTTTTTCACGTAGCTTCTTCAGCGATTCCTCCACGTCGTAAACGAAGCTCTGCGTTTCTACCACATCCAGGCCCATGGCGTCCAAATCGGCTACCATATGATTATGTGGCAGCGAATACCTTGGCTCATTTTGGTAGATGGTCCCTATTCTGGTCCAGTTGAATTCCTTCAGCAGTGCCAGACGTGGAGCATTGAAGGCATTTTCCGATGGAACGACACGGAAGAAGTTCGGAAAGGCGTCCTTAGTGAACATGGGATGTGTGTCCGCATAAGATAGCTGCGTCAGATGCCAATGTTTGCTGGCTTTCGCTATTGGATCTGTCACGTGGGTGCACGCGGCTCCGAAAAGCATCAGTTTGTGCGGCCCCGAGTGCATCATGTCGAAGAACGATTTCACTCCGACGGCTGCGTTGCACTCGGTGTCATTCCACCACATGTGCAGCCGATAATTTCTCAGTATGGTGGAATGCTCATTAACGTGATCCAATGCGAGCTTAACACTTGGCATCACGCCACGACCCGTTTCGCTATTTTCAACCCCTTCCCCATAGGGGAAAAAGCCGGCTATGTAAACATCCAACCGGTGGACAGCTCCGGACCTAGACCCGTCGACCCAGTCCAGGAACAGAGACAGTGCTATCACCGCCGTCTGCATGACAATGGCCGTTGATGAGGGATTGTTGTTGCCACTTTTTGCTTTCATTTCCTTTCTCCGGTTTCTGTTCAAGATATCCCGAACGCTGGTTACTTTTCTGCGGAAGAAAGAGAAATCATGTCAGAATAACATTATTTTCAAAGTGTTTTGTTTCATTAATGATTTTGTTTTCAATATTTATTAAGACGGCAAGCATTTCGACCAGAAGTCTTCAATTTACACTTATAATTGGCGGTGCCGACTGGGATTGAGCCCAGGCCTGATGTAGTGAGAGGTAATCACACCACCGGCGCCTCTAAGAATGGTAGTTGTAATGAGGCTTTAATGAAGGTATAAGAGTGCTTCAAGTTTTATATCGGTCATGAAAAAGTATGCCATAAAACATAATAATTATGGTTTTAACGGTAGCTATAAGGTGGCTCTGTATCTGAACTGAAGAATAAAACCAGAACACAACATACAATTATTGTATGTTGTGTTCTGGTTTTATTCTTCAGTTCAGATACAGAGCCACCTTATGCTACCGTTAAAACTATGAAGTCTGAGTTTTAATTTAATAGTCATAAAACAGTTTTATAGACAACTTGACGGCCTGATTTTATGACAATCACATAAAACCATAATACAACCACAGACTGTAATGGATGCTATCTATAAAATAAGAATAAATCTTCCAAGCATTTAGATTGATTACACGCATAGATTGAAAAAACTTTGATGGAAATTTTGAACATTTCCCTCAAAATGATGGAGCACGATGAGAAGTGGCAAAAGACTTTTCGAAGATTGATACGCACGCGTGTGTTTTTTTAAGTATTTAGATTGCCAATGGATCTACACATTGTACAGTGCTTTCCCAAAAAATTGTTTAGCTTTTTTATCCGATTTTGTCAGCTTGCAGATTTCACTTAATTGCTCAGTTTTTAAACATGAATTATCAAATTTTTCGATCTGAATGTTTTTTATCTTTACTCTTCGTTGAAATGTGAATATTAGGGGACGTGGGGGAATATGGGGTAAAAAGTACAGTTTACTTTTTTAAATACCGTCATTCAAGTTGTTATAACTATTCAAACCCGGCACCAACGACAACGAAAAGTTTTACAAAATACACGATAAACAAGCGAGCTTACCATACATTTTGAATATGAAACGACCTTGGACCGCGTTTTTCCGCTCAGTAAGCAAGCCACTGCAACCGACGATCTTTCAAATCCGAAAACTAAAAGCTACAAAAGACTACTTAGGCCTTCATTAAGTTCCACTTTCACGCGACTTTCAATGTTTTGATTTGCTCTTTACGCATTGTTCAGGCAATCATAACAAGCTATGACCGACGTGACGATTGTTTAGGCCCTGGTTAAACAAGCTATCAAATGAAATTACGTTACCGAATTTCACTTGGTATGTAATGAACAACAGAAATACGCGATAATTCTTATAGTTTCTGCGGTTGATGGTTAATTTAGCTAAAGTCTATGTAATAAAGCAGAAAAAAAATATACTAACGGTACTGCCTATGGCAACTACGACGGAGACTACGACAGTGACTACGACGGCGAATACGACGGCGAATACAACGGCGAATACGACGGCGAATACGACGGCGCTTACGAAAAAGCTTGATTTGCTTGCTTTCCTCAGCATATTGTCTTTTTAACGATTTATTCTTTTTAATGTTTGGTCCTTTTGTCCATCGAGCTTTTGTCTTTCGACCTTTTGTCTTTCAACCTTTTGTCTATCGAACTTTTGTCCTTCAACTGTGTGCCTACAACCTTCATGCCAGCTCTGGGAACTTCAAACAAGTTCAGAGAACTTTAGTCATGTTTAAGGAAGTTCTGAAAAATTTCAAAAACTTATTAAATATTTAAACAAGATTCATCATCTAGGATCAGATATTTTTAAATCGATGCGCCTTCATCTGGTAATGCGCCATGCGCCTTCATATGGTAATGGAAATTAGTTCTAATTTTCTCCGCATATATGGTGCTGCGATACTAACTTTCTTATTTCACATGCTAGAGGCTTTATGTCTTGGGTAAAGTTGTAGAACATTAAAAAATATAAAAAATGCCGAAAGATTCAAAGTTCTAAGTCTTCAAATAACAAAGATATAGTGGATATTGTAAAATTTAACTGAAATTTACGTTTTTTGTACTATTTTCCATACAAATCCTTCATTTTTAACGCCGTGTATCTTTTAAGCCGGATAATTTGCAAGTTTCAAGGAAGAGTTTCCAATTTTTTGGGTTGATACAAGCGAAATATTAGCTTAAATAGTGAAAATTACCATGATTTTCGTAATCCGGTTTCTCGAAAAGTAGCAAGTTTTAGCAAAAAGTCATATACTTTCTGAAATGTACCATTTGTCATCAATCAAAGGTGAAAGTTTTCCAGACATATAATTTTATATATTTAAGATATCTGAATTCATAGACTATAATGTTTATTCAAGCAGCGTTCGCCAACGCATGGCTTGCTGACTGCATGCGATGGAAACGATCGAATATGTCTCGTATGCACAAAACTTCTTCATGTTCATGTTCATTCTCGAACATGTGTGCGTGTCGAGGTGCGTGTGACAAAAGTCGATAATGATAGTTGATAGAGCAGTGCACGATCCCTAACCTCACTTTTGGTTCCAATAATTTTGTCTGTGAGTAAAAGAGATGGCAACGAATGGGAACCAAAACAAACCACCAAAAACTGTCAAAATTTACAGGTGATAGAAAAGTGCAGCCAATCTTCTGATCTAATGTTGAAATGAGAATATACATGTACTACTTACTGATTGACCAACTGAAAATGTTAGTATGAAAACGGAAGCTCTGTTATTTCGAAGTAATGTTGACTCTTCCGGTGGATTATAATATGTGTTATTTTGGAGTATATAACTGATAATTATGGCGGAAGGTAGGTTATTTTTAATTGTTCAGAAGGTATTTTTTTCATTATTGAAAATAAAAGTATGTAGCGTGAGTGTTCGGGAAATCGTCACATTATTTTTCAAAAAAAAAAATATCGCTCGTTGATCTGGCATCGCATGTTAAAAAGAAAATTATTTGTCCCGAAAGCGAAGCCTTTGAACACTCCTTTCACAAATCGCTTAGATTTCTAAAAGCAGACTTTGATTCACGTTATGCCAAGTCCTGCCGCAACAAGCGTTTTTCCAAAAATATACAAAATGACTGGATTCCCACTTCAAAGTTCAGGACGATAGCCCAAAGAAAAATGTAGGTGGAAGACCAAAAAAATCTTTTAGTGAAGATAGCCAAAGAACAAGGTTAAAAATAATGTACAATCAAGTGCCAAACCAGAGATCGACCGATTTACAGCTGAAGATGCTTTGCGATTTTTTGTGCGAAAATGATCTTACAATAAAAGAAGAGTTCAAGATAATAGGACTGAGAATAAGTGAACCGTTGCCATCTGGAGGTAAGTTCATTTTATCGTTTTGTTACATTACATTACAAATACATTTTCATTTCATCAGGTAGTAGTAATGATGACAACACCGCCAGAAGATTATTGAATTCCGATATCTCAAATATATAAAATTATATGTCCGGAAAACTTTCACCTTTGATTGATAATAAATAGTACAATTCAGAAAGTATATGACTTTTTGCTAAAACTTGCTACTTTTCGAGAAACCGGATTAAGAAAATCATGGTAATTTTCACTATTTAAGCTAATATTTCGCTTGTATCAACCCAAAACATTGAGAACTCTTCCTTAAAACTTGCAAATTATCCGGCTTAAAATAAACACGGCGTTAAAATGAAGGATTTGTCGTTTGTATGGAAAATAGTACAAAAAACGTAAATTTCAGTTAAATTTTATAATATTCACTATATCTTTGTTATTTGAAGACCTAGAACTTTGAATCTTTCGGCATTTTTTTATATTTTTTAATGTTCTACAACTTTACCCAAGACATAAAACCTCTAGGATGTGAAATAAGAAAGTTAGTATCACAGCACCATCTATGCGGAGAAAATTGGAACTAATTTCCATTACCAGATGAAGGCGCATGTTAAACCGAGAAACTTTGCGAAATACACCATTTCAATATAATGCAAACCCAATGCGCTAGAGGTTTTGTCTTGCTAATTTCGGTTCCTGGCCCAGTGTGCATTGTTATGTTGGAAGGGTGAGCTTTTAGTTGCGAGAAACCGACGGCTAAAACCATTGTTTACAAAAGCAATTGCGCCCCTTCGAAATGTTGGCGCTGAAATAAAGTCGACACATTTTTTTTTTAAATATAATGTATCTCAGATTCATACGCCTTTTGAATAGAAATTAAGCGATCGATGCAATCTCTGGTGGTGAATAGGTGAACCTTAAAAAGAGTGATATGATCAGAATTTTTTGACTTTTTCACTTTTCCTGATAAATTGATTCTCAGATACTCAAAAACTTGATCTAGCTTTCAAAAAATTAATGCTGGATTGTTTTTGCATGGATCCTGCTGGTGTTCACGAATATTTTTGTTGAGAAAATGATCTTCCTGATTTTGTGTGTGTGAATAGTTTAGGTGCAAATCAGTTCAGATTTGTGGAAAATCGTAAAATAAGTCTATAGGCCTTTTTAATGCACCACCAACGTAGAGTGCGCCACGCGGCTTCAAGAAGAAACGTCAACCAAACCGTTTGTTTACATCAGAATAAGGATTTTTCACAACGCAAATTAAAGCATTTTTCATTGAACATCTTGCCAATTTCCATCGGTAATTGTCTTATTTTACGATTTTCCACAGATCTGAACTGATTTGCACCTATATACTAACGGGTGGCAACTAAAATTTTGGAATTTCTTTCTCAAGCTGTCAAAAAAAGACAAACATACTTGAAAAAGATCTGATTTATTGAAATTAAAGATACATTGTCCATTGTGGAAAAAAATTAGTGAACATTTGAAAACGGTTCGTGATCGGATGTTCGGCGAAGCTTCCGTTTGATGTCGGAACAGGAGCGTTGTACGGCCTTCATGTCAACTTTGCGAATGCATCTCTTGATTCTACCAATCAACTGTTTGCAATTCGTGGCTTTCCAGTTATTTTTGTACACCAAGGAGCGCAAAACCCCGAAGAAATCT